CTTCGCGGTAGTGTTGCCCCCCAAACTGCAAACCTCAGGCAGGTGTCGAGCAGTGCAGTGTGGGGACTGATAACTCATGTCAGGACACTGCACTGTAGGGATTGTTCCAATCTAGCCCCCCGCCCCCGCCCCTTGTCCATCCACCTGTTTCCACAGTGGTCTGCATCTTCCATAGACTAGCCCTCTGCCAGGTCACCTCTCAGTCCAGTCCCCTTCTGGGGTTAATAGAAAAGTCCAAAACAGAAAGAACCAGAGTCTAATGGTCTTTGTGCCAGGCCCTTGGCCCTCATCTGGGACTCATCATTCTTGGTGTCTTTTAATCCAGAGGCCTGTACTTCCCCTATTACTTGGAGAGAGGTAGGAGAACTCAGGCCCAATCTCTTCTCTGGGTTCCCACCCAGGACCCTTTGTTAGGCAGCTAAAGACTGTTCTGTCAATCCCTCACCAATTCCCTGGGCTGCTCCTACCTTTTTCCTGCTTGTCAGTGTCTTCCACAGGTCTGCAGACTCTGCTATTCCCACCCTGGATGTGTGGCTCCTTGCAGCTTCTTCTTAGCCAGTTACTGAGGAACTTCCTCAAAGCTGCTCCTCCAGCCTCTCTGGCACCAGCTGGGCTATATTTCAAATAGTCCTTCTGGTTTCCCTCCTTCAGACAAGAGCCTTCCCCAGTCCTCTTCCTGGAGCTGGGGTTGTATTTCAGATAGTCTCATTGTCTTTCCCCTTAAGGCAACCATCACCAGCCTGTGCTTACAGTGGTCTGAAAAAAAGTATAGGGGGAGGGGCTGAGGATGGGAGATCTATCATAATTTGGGTGCAGCAGCATTGATAAGACAGTGCTTGGCCATGTCTACAATCGCTTGTGATGCCCCACCATTCCCACTTTAGACACGGCCCCTAGCTCTACTCCGAAGAGCTGGGGTTTGTGACTTAGACCAGCTGTAGGGCCTTAGCTAGCTCTCCTTCAGTTGGCCCCTTTATCACAGTCCTCAGATGATTCAACAGGCAAGCTGTCTGCTGGTGTTTCTTCTACTATAGGGGAGGAGACAGCAAGATGTGCTGGTCTCCTTTTTAAAGCTTATCCCAAATGGCAGAAAGAGAGGAGCCTTGCCCAGCTCACTCTGCAAGGCTGTAGTCCCAGGCACTTATATTAATAGTATCAGGATTTCCTCCCAAACACTGCTTATTCCCAGGACCACTTCTTCTCTAACAATATCTCCTAGGTCCTTGTATTTATCAGACTTCCCAAAATCTTAAGGACCATGGCACATGACAGGGGTAGGCTGACCCCTAGGCACCACTACTCTTAAGGGGACAGACTTCCCTGTCACACAATATAGACATAGCCCTTTCATCAGGAGTGAGGATGGAGGTGACCAGTGGCCCTATACCAACAGAGGATCCCTACACAGGGGAATCCTCCCAGGGCCATCTAAGCCAGGGTTTTGGACATATTGCACGGCCAGATCAATGCAAAATGACCACTTAGCACTGAAGAATCAGGCCCCCTTGTACTGGATTATGCCTTTTAGCCTTGTTATTGAACCACACATATAAGTGTACTTCCTGTCAGGCAGGCACAGTGTGATAATATACACTCTATGGTGAAGGAAAAGGATTATGGAGCAAACCTTCGTTGAAAAATGGCATCTCATATCAGGGAGAGTGCAGATCTGGTTCTCCTACAGCCAAAGGAGGATTCAGAATCACTTCTGCAGATTTGTTAGTACACAGGGATTTTCAGTTTTTTGGAGGTCTGCACTTACATCATCCTGGCATAACATTTTAGCTCTGAGTGATGGCTGTGGAAATTTTAAACATCTTAGAATATATCTTGAATATCAAAGTTTTTGCTGGATAATTGAAACTACTGTTCTATTCTTAGGAAACCTAAAACAAGGAATCTCTCAGCCCACCATGTTTGGTTTTCCTTACTGTATTTGAAAGTGAAGTTTTTGCATTGTCACATATTATTTATATACAAAAACTCTAATCAGGATCAATGCTAGGCACTATATCAAAACATACCAAGACACAGCCCTTGCCCCAAGGATTTTATAATCTAAATTCCTAATCCTTCAAAGAGCTCTGCACAGGCAGACCCTTGTGTCTGCACAAAGCCTCTTGCAGGATTGAGGCTTTAGACAAGCAGTGACATATCAAGAGGAGATGGAGAGGGATCCAATCAAATATAAACAATCTTAACATACATTTGCTATTATTATTAATATAAATAAATAAAAATAACTGTGTTCTTCACAGACGCTAAAGGAAAACATATTTGAATACAATAGGACCACCTATTTTATGTATGAAATATATGCAACTATATTGTAAACAAACTTTGCTTCAAGAACATATTTGGCTCTGCTGTGAAATAGTACAACGAGCCTTTGTTATGCTCTCAGCTGAGCTATTTATGTATTACAAGTGACTTGCCTAAGAACTGATTCCTCTGCTGTTGTTCTTCCACACACTCAAAATTTAAACTATATTGATAGAGATGTTTATATGAGCAGAAGTAAGTAAAATTATCTAACAGACAAAGAAGTCTGAAGCTAACAATGGGCCTGAGTTGCAAACTTCACATTGAGATCTGTATCAAACTTTCCCCAGTTTTGGAGGGGTGTTCAGCTCCAGGTTCAACTGAAACGGAAAATACAACAAAAAGCTCTGCATAATTCACATTAATTACACTCATCTTCAGTTAAAGTGAAAATGAGGCTCACAGTCTCTTAAGCAGAAAAAGGAGGTCATGAAACAAGAGGGAGATAATTGGATGCTGGGTGGAAAGGGATCCAATGCAGAAGGGGTTTATGAGCATCTGCCAGTGTCTCATGCAGGATCCTTATCGTGCTGAATAAGGGGAGTGAGCTGCCAACAGCTTCACTTAAATATTCTTAATGCCACTATAGTGAAGAAGTGCTTTCAAAAATCCTCCTTCCAAAAATCCTTGCTGTCACTACATAGGAAGTGAAGGATGGGCCAGTGGCTAAGGTGCAAGTGTTGGACTTGGCACATCTGGGTTCAAAACCATCCTCTGCTACAGAGTTTGTATGACTTTAGGCAAGTCACTTAGCTTCTCTGTGCCACAGTTTCCCATCTGTAAAATAGGGATAATAGTACTTGCTTACCTGATAGGGATGTTTTGAGGATAAATACATTAAAAGATTGTGGGGTACTCAGTACTGTGGTAATAGGTGTAGGTAAGTGCCTAAGGGTATGTCTACAGTATGAAATTAGGTCGATTTTATAGAAGTCGATTTTTAGAGATCGATTTTATACAGTCGATTGTGTATGTCCCCACTAAGCGCATTCAGTCGGTGGAGTGCATCCTCACTATCATGGCTAGCATCGACTCATGGAGCGGTGCACTGTGGGAAGCTATCCCACAGTTCCCGCAGTCTCTGCTGCCCATTGGAATTCTGGGTTAAGCTCCCAATGTCTAATGGGACAAAAACATTGTCACGGGTGGTTTTGGGTACATGTCGTCAGTCTCCCCTCCCTCCCTCCCTCTGTGAAAGGAACTGCAGACAATCATTTTGCACCTTTTTCCTGGGTTACCCATGCAGACGCCATAGCACGGTAAGCATGGAGGCCGCTCAGCTCACCGCTGCTGTTGTGAGTATTGTAAACACCTCGCGCATTATACTGCAGTATGTGCAGAACCTGGCTAAGAGACGGCAGCACAAGGACGATTGTGAGGAGGACATGGACACAGACATTCCTGAAAGCATGAGATGTGGCAGTTGGGACATCTTGGCTGCAGTGGGGCTGGTTGATACAGTGGAATGTCGATTCTGGGCCCGGCAAACAAGCACAGACTGGTGGGACCGCATAGTCTAGCAGGTATGGGATGATTCCCAGTGGCTGCGAAACTTTCGCATGCGTAAGGCCACTTTCATGGAAGTCTGTGAGTTGCTTTCCACCGCCCTGAAGCGCAGGAATACCAAGATGAGAGCTGCCCTGACAGTTGAGAAGCGAGTGGCAATAGCCCTGTGGAAGCTTGCAGTGTCTGACTGCTACTGGTCAGTCGGGAATCAATTTGGAGAGGGCAAATCTACTGTGGGAACTGCTGTGATTTCAAGTAGCCAATGCAATCACTGACATTCTGCTATCAAGGGTAGTGACTCTGGAAAATGTGCAGGTCATAGTGGATGGCTTTGCTGCAATGGGTTTCCCTAACTGTGGTGAGGCAATAGACGGAACACATTTCCCTATCTTGGCATCGGACCACCTTGCCAACCAGTATATAAACCACAAGGGGTACTTCTCAATGGTGCTGCAAGCACTGGTGGATCACAAGGGACGTTTCACCGACATCAACGTGGGATGGCCGGGAAGGGTACATGACACTCGCATATTTAGGAACTCCGGGCTGTTTGAGCGGCTGCAAGAAGGGACTTACTTCCCAGACCAGAAAATTACTGTTGGGGATGTTGAAATGCCAATAGTTATCCTTGGAGACCCAGCCTACCCCTTGCTCCCATGGCTCATGAAGCCGTACACAGGCAGCCTGGACAGTAGTAAGGAGCAGTTCAACTACAGGCTGAACAAGTGCAGAATGGTGATAGAATGTGCCTTTGAACGTTTAAAAGCTCGCTGGTGCTGTTTGCTGACTAGGTTAGACCTCAGCGCAACCAATATTCCCATTGTTATTACTGCTTGCTGTGTGTTTGATAATATATGTGAGAGTAAGGGGGAGACATTTATGGTGGGGTGGGAGGTGAGGCAAATTGCCTGGATGCCAATTTTGAACAGCCAGACACCACGGCGATTAGAAGAGCACAGGTAGGCACAATGCGCATCAGAGAGGCTTTGAAAACCAGTTTCGTGACAATTGTGTTTCTCCTTGATGCAACTCCCTTCATTGATTTTAATTCCCTGTAAGCCAACCACCCTTCCCACTTCGATTACATCTGGCAAAGGAAATAAAGTCACTATTGTTTTGAAACTATGCATTCTTTCTTTATTAATTTTTGTTAAAAAGGAGATAACTGACAAGGTAGCCCGAGTGGGGTAGGGTGGGAGGAGGGAAGGACAAAGGCACATTGTGTATTGTAGCCACACTACAAATCAAACTGTTTGAATGATAGCCTTCTGTTGCTTGGGCCATCCTCTGGAGTGGAGTGGCTGGGTGCCCGGAGCCTCGCTCCCCGCGTTCTTGGGCATCTGCGTGAGGAGGATATGGAACTTGGGGAGGAGGGCAGGCGGTTGTACACTGGATGCAGCAGCGGTCTGTGCTCTTGTTGGCTTTCCTGCAGCTCCACCAGATGCCTGAGCATGTCCTTTTGTTCCCCCGTGCCTCTTCTCATCGCGCTCATGTAATGCTTTCCTGGACTCTACCACTGAATGCCTCCATGCATTCAGCTGTGCCCTATCAGTGCAGGAGGACTGCATGAACTCAGAAAACATGTCATCACGAGTGCATTTTTTTCGCCTTCTAATCTGCGATAACCTCAGGGACAGAGATGATAGAGGGAGGATAGAAACATTTGCACCTGCAGGGGGATAAAAAGGGAGAGTAAAATTTAAGATGATACATTTCTGAGAAGAAAAGGAATCAAGCAATTCACAGCAGACAGCACATGTGCTTTAGGTACAAGGTCGCATTTTGCCTTTTATATCGAGCACCTGCCGGTATGGTGACACATCACACACAGCTGGGCAACAGAATTCGGTTTCCAGGCAGCCATGGTAAGCCAAAGGGTATGCGGGTTTGGCTTCTAATGCCTTCATAACATGTGGGAATGTTTTCAAAATGCAGCGTCCTCCTTTCCCTTAGCAAGCAATGCCGGTTGGGTTTGCTATTTAAAAGGAGGGACTGCAGTTTTCAGGTGGATGTACAGCACACACCTCCCCCCAACCCCAACGCGTGGCTATGGGATGATCCCTTTTAGCCAAGCGCAAACAGCCCAGCATGAACGGGGTCCTTTTACTGTTCCCTTACAAAAATTCCCCTATTTCAACCAGGTGACCATGACTGATATCGCTCTCCTGAGGCTAACACAGAAAGATAAAGACCAAATGTTGCTTGAATGCGACCAAAACCCAGGACCCAGGACTTCGTGCTGCAATGATTCCAGACTACTTGCTACTGGCTTGGTGTTGTAAAGTGTCCTACCATGGAGGACGAAATAAGGCAGCCCTCCCCAGAAACCTTCTGCAAAGGCTTTCAGAGGACCTCCAGGAGAGCTTCATGGAGATGCCCCTGGAGGATCCCCACTCCATCCCCAGACACGTTAACAGACTTTTCCAGTAGCTGTACTGCCGCAAATGCATCCCAAGTCTTCAGGGCAAATCAAACATTTAACACTATTGCTTTTAAACCTTGTACTGTAGTTACAAATGTGCACTCACCAGAGGTGCCTTCTCCGCCTTCAGGGTCGGGGATCCCACCTTGGGAGGGTATTGGCTCCAGGGTGATGAAGAGATCCTGACTGCTGGGGAGCACGGATTCACCACTTGCCTGCTGCGCATTCTCCTCCTCCTCCTCTTCCTCATCCACAAAATCCTCCTCCCAGTTGCGTGAGACTCTCCCCTTGCAGGTATCCATGGACAGTGGTGCGGTAGTGGTAGGGTCCTCCCCTTGAATGCGATGCAGCTGATCACAGAAGCAGCATGTGTGGGGCTCTGACCCAGAGCAACTGTTTGCCTCCTTTGTCTTTTGGTAGGCTTGCCTGAGCTCCTTGACTTTCACGCGGCACTGCTATGTGTCCCTGTTGTAACCTCTGTCCATAATGCCCTGTGCAATTTTGGCATATATATTAGCATTTCTTCTTTTTGGTCAGAGTTCTGCTTGCACAGATTCTTCTCCCCATACAGCCATCAGATCCAGTGTCTCCCGTTCGCTCCATGCTGGAGATCTTTTGCAATTCTGGGTGGACTGCATGGTCACCTGTGCTGCTGAGCTCGCCACGCTGACCAAACAGGAAATGAAATTCAAATGTTCCCAGGGCTTTTCCTGTGTACCTGGCTAGTGCATCGGAGATGAAAGTGCTGTTCAGAACACTCACATTGGAGCACTCTGGGATAGCTTCTGGAGGTCAATAACATCAAATTGCGTCTGCACTACCCCAAATTCAACCCAGCAAGGTCAATTTTAGCGCTACTCCCCTCACCAGGGAGGAGTACAGAAATCAATTTTAAGAGCCCTTTAGGTCGATGGAACGGGGTTGCTTGTGTAGATGCATTCATTATAAAATCGACCTAATGCGGCTAAATTCGACTTAACCCTGTAGTGTAGACCAGGGCTGAGAAAGATAGGAGTTTCTCTCCCCAGGATCTTGCTGTAATGGAGCCTACTGAACAAAGACTCAGGCTATACTTATGCGATGGGAGAATCCATCTTGAGAAGCAGAGACTCTGAAAAAGATTTGGGGGTTGTGCTGGATAATAAGTTGAACATGAGCTCCCATTGTGGCCAAAAGAGCTAATGTGATCCTGGGATGGTTAAACAGGGGAATGAGGAGTAGAGATTATTTTACCTCTATATTTGGCATCGGTGAAATTGCTTGTTAGGGGGCTTATTCCTTCACCCACTTACTTCCCTGGTCCTTCTCGCATGAACAGAGAGCAACAATACCCAAAGTCCAAAGGTGCAAACAATTCGATGTTTATTGGGGTGAACTTCCTGCAAGCATGATTCTAGTTTCCTTCCTTAGTATCCTCCTTCCCAGCTCTGACACCACAGAGCCTTACACCTGTGTCCCTGTTCCCATTCCTGCCCTTAGCCAAACATGATTCCAATTTCCTTACTCCCATTCCCTGTTCCCATTTTCCCCTTTAGCAAAACATGATTCCAATTTCCTTACCGCCATTCCCTGTTCCCATTTCCCCCACATACACACCCACCCCCATCCCCATTCCCGTTCCCATTTTCCCCCTACACACACACACCCCCACTTCCTGATTGACTGCAGACTATATAGTAAAATTTGAGTTCTGCTTAGCTATACCTTAACCATTCACTTTCCTGAAATTTAACTAACCAATTCTAACATATTGTAACATGATTATGTAACCAATTATATCCCACCACCTTAGTTTACACCCAGCAAAATTAATTATACAGCAGACAGAAACAATCACAGAACCAGACAGAGATTATACAGACAAACAATAGCAAAGTGGGAACTATAATGACAAAACAATACAGAAGTGAGGATTTCACATCCCAGCTACTGGTAAGTGAGTTCTTGCCAGACAGGATGCTATCAAACTAAGTTTCCTTTTACATTTTCTAGGCACTTCCCTTTCTCTGGAGGTGATAGACACTGTCAGGACAGGATTGTATTCCTAACAGCCCAATAGCACCTTATTTCAATATGACTAGTTTGGAATGTGAGGATGTGACTGGTTGTTTCCCAGCTTATGGCTGCTTCTGTTGCTTAGCCAAAGGCCTTAGCCTAAGAACAGGGCCTCAGACTGTCACAGTAAGAGAAGGACCTTACACTGGCAGACAGTGATTTTGATTCTTTCTTTTATACCTCTATAACTAGCCAAGTGATAAGAATACACCTAAATTCTTAAAGTACAGGCCTTTGCAGACAGGCCTGAATATCTATATCCTAACATTGCTCCTGGAATATTGCATTGTTCTGGTGTCCACAATTCCAGAAAGATGTTGATAACTTGTAGAGAGTTCAGAGAAGAGCCGCAAGAATGATTAATTAGTAGGGGATGCAAAAGTGGATGGGAACCTGGGAGGCAGTGACCATGAGATGGTCGAGTTCAGGATCCTGACACAGGGAAGAAAGGAGAGTAGCAGAATACGGACCCTGGACTTCAGAAAAGCAGACTTTGATTCCCTCAGGGAATAACATGAGGGGGAAAGGAGTCCAGGAGAGCTGGCTGTATTTTAAAGAATCCTTATTGAGGTTACAGGGACAAACCATCCCGATGTGTAGAAAGAATAGTAAATATGGCAGGCGACCAGCTTGGCTTAACAGCGAAATCCTTGCTGATCTTAAACACAAAAAAGAAGCTTACAAAAAGTGGAAGATTGGACAAATGACCAGGGAAGAGTATAAAAATATTGCTCGGGCATGCAGGAGTGAAATCAGGAAGGCCAAATCACACCTGGAGTTGCAGCTAGCAAAAGATGTTAAGAGTAACAAGAAGGGTTTCTTCAGATATGTTAGCAACAAGAAGGAAGTCAAGGAAAGTTGGGCCCCTTACTGAATGAGGGAGGCAACCTAGTGACAGAGGATGTGGAAAAAGCTAATGTACTCAATGCTTTTTTTTGCCTCTGTCTTCACGAACAAGGTCAGCTCCCAGCATGGGGAGGAGGTGACCAGCCCTCTGTGGAGAAAGAAGTGGTTCGGGACTATTTAGAAAAGCTGGACGAGCACAAGTCCATGGGGCCGGATGCACTGCATCCGAGAGTGCCAAAGGAGTTGGCAGATGTGATTGCAGAGCCATTGGCCATTATCTTTGAAAACTCATGGCGATCGGGGGAAGTCCCGGACGACTGGAAAAAAGCTAATGTAGTGCCCATCTTTAAAAAAGGGAAGGAGGAGGATCCTGGGAACTATAGGCCAGTCAGCCTCACCTCAGTCCCTGGAAAAATCATGGAGCAGGTCCTCAAGGAATCAATTCTGAAGCACTTAGAGGAGAGGAAAGTGATCAGGAACAGTCAGCATGGATTTACCAAGGGCAAGTCATGCCTGACTAATCTAATTGCCTTCTATGATGAGATAACTGGCTCTGTGGATGAGGGGAAAGCAGTGGACGTGTTGTTCCTTGACTTTAGCAACCATTTTGACACGGTCTCCCACAGTATTCTTGCCAGCAAGTTAAAGAAGTATGGGCTGGATGAATGGACTATAAGGTGGATAGAAAGTTGGCTAGATTGTCGGGCTCAATGGGTAGCGATTACTGGCTCCATGTCTAGTTGGCAGCCATATCAAGTGGAGTGCCCCAAGGGTCGGTCCTTGGGCCAGTTTTGTTCAATATCTTCATAAATGGTCTGGAGGATGGTGTGGATTGCACCCTCAGCAAGTTTGCAGATGACCTAAACTGGGAGGAGAGGTAGATACACTGGAGGGTAGGGATAGGATACAGAGAGCCCTAGACAAATTAGAGGATTGGGCCAAAAGAAATCTGATGAGGTTCAACAAGTTTTGTGACAATTGTGTGTGTTTCTCCTTGATGCAAACCCGCCCCCTTTGTTGATTTGTCCTGCACTTAGGACGGAAGAATCCCATGCACAGCTACAGACTAGGGACTGTATGGCTAGGCAGCAGTTCTGCAGAAAAGGACCTAGGGGTTACAGTGGAGAAGAAGCTGGACATGAGTCAACAGTGTGCCGTTGTTGCCAAGAAGGCCATTTTGGGATGTATAAGTAGGGGCATTGCCAGCAGATCGAGGGACGTGATCGTTCCCCTCTATTCGACGTTGGTGAGGCCTCATCTGGAGTACTGTGTCCAGTTTTGGGCCCCACACTACAAGAAGGATGTGGAAAAATTGGAAAACGTCCAGCGGAGGGCAACAAAAATGATTAGGGGACTGGAACACATGACTTATGAGGAGAGGCTGAGGGAACCGGATTGTTTAGTCTGCAGAAGAGAAGAATGAGGAGGGATTTGATAGCTGCTTTCAACTACCTGAAAGGGGGTTCCAAAGAGGATGGATCTAGACTGTTCTCAGTGGTAGCTGATGATAGAACAAGGAGTAATGGTCTCAAGTTGCAGTGGGGGAGGTTTAGGTTGGATATTAGGAAAAACTTTTTCACTAGGAGGGTGGTGAAACACTGGAATGTGTTACCTAGGGAGGTGGTGGAATCTTCTTCCTTAGAAGTTTTTAAGGTCAGGCTTGACAAAGCCCTGGCTGGGATGATTAGTCCTGCTTTGAGCAGGGTGTTGGACTAGATGACCTCCTGAGGTCCCTTCCAACCCTGATATTCTATGATTCTAAAAGATTAGAAAACATGCCTTATAGCGATAGACTCAGGAGCTCAATCTATTTAGCTTAACAAAGAAAAGTTTAAGGGATGACTTGATCACAGTCTGGAAGTACCTACATGGGGAACAAATATTTAATAATGGGGTTGTCAATCTAGCAGAGAAAGGTATAACATGATCTCGTGGCTGGAAGTTGAAGCTAGACAAATTCAGACTGGAAATAAAGCGCAGAATTTTAATGGTGAGAGTAATAAACCATTGGAACAATTGACGAATGGTCATGGTGAATTCTCCATCACTGACACTGTTTTAATCAATATTGGATGTTTTTCTAACAGATCCGTTCTAGGAATTATTTTGGGGGATTTCTGTGGCCTGTGCTATACAGGAAGTCAGACTAGATGGTCAACAATGGCCCCTCCTGGCCTTGGGATGTATTAATTATACTGTATAATTATTATTTATTAATAGTATTATTTTATGTATTTATACATCACCAAAATTGTGCATGGTGCTTTACAGATAAATGGTTCTTCTCCTCAGGAGAATTCATTCTAATGGCTTGCTTGTGCCCATTCTTATGTAACTCTACAAGGTGGAGGGGAGAGTGTAAGAAGTGTTCCTTCATCTCTCACCCCCCTGTGCAGAGGCTGGGTGCCATGCAGGTGTGGAGCACTGGCTTTGTTCCCTGTCTAAAAAAGGGTGAGGTAAAGTGAGTTAATGACCTTGCCTCCCTCCATGCCAGTCCACAGACATGAATGGAATCCTAGAAGCTCTAGGAAGAATTCTGAGTCAGATGGCCTGATTCTTAGACGTGCTGAATACCTGCAGCTCTCAATGACTTCAGCTGTTGTTATCAGTGCTGCTCATTGCTAAAAATCAGGCCCTGTATTTCTTCTGTGCACTCCCACCCACACCATTTCCAAGACAGGACATAACTTAAAACCACAATCTGGCCCTAAATTCAACATCACTCAAAAATAGGGGATGACAGACACCAGTTGTGGGGTGTATGTGCCAAGCACAGTACATAACCAAATTAATTTAATAACACTGTTGGTTCTCTATGCTTGTGAGCTTGTTCCTTGACATAATAAATAATTTGAGAATTGATGTATATATTAAAAAAAGACCACTGGCCCGGGCCTCTGAGTTGAGCATTGTTATTATTTTGCTGATAGATAATATTCTGCTGTTTCTTCCAGAAACCACTGAGGGGCAGCAGGTTTTCACGAAGAAAATATTATTTGCAACTTTCATACGTAAGAAAATGTTGAATTGTGACTGACAGACTTAATTGTTTTAATGAATTTTGTGCATTAGCTCACAGAAGCTTATAACAAATATGCCATTGTAGGGAGACTCCATAGTAAATGTACATTGTTTTTACTATTTCTATAGTAGCA